GTTGGGCTAGTTACCCAACCCCCCCCCCCCGACCTTAGTCCCCTCATCTATGAAATGAGAATAGCTACCGTCGCCCTAAAATGTCCCATGCCGCTTTTATTTTAGCCAACCATTTCTTATCTGGATCTCTCACTAAAATGTAAGCCTCAAGGGGGCAGTGTTCTGTCTGTGGTGGTAGAACACCCACCACTTCCTTACACTGATTCGTTGTTAGGAGAAAACCCACACTAAGTACAGGGTCTGGGGTTGTAGCCAGCCCTCAAGAAGCCCTGAGATGTTAGCCTTGTGATGCTAACATCATCACAAGAGAGGCCCAGAGCAGCTCCTGGCACCTAAGCAGTGCTGGTTCCCCTCTTCCCTTCTAGGGCTGTGAAGGTCTCAGAAGGAGGGCAGGTAGACTGTTTGAAGAACAATCAGCACGGGGCATAGCAGTCCGAGAACCTTGCCGACGCATACAAGCACCTACTCTCAGACACACTCCTGAGGGGCAGATGTCAGTGTAAGGCAGCATGGGGTGCTGACGGCCGAGAAGACCATGCAACTTAATGCCCAGAAACAGGTCCCATTGTCCCAGGGCTCTGCTTGACGTGGCCATGACCAAGGGGCAGCCACACTGAGCAAAGGGACATTGACCTTGCCCACTAGTCCATCAGGGTCACCTGCCCACCGAATCACCAGGCTGCAGACCATGGGAAACAAGGTGCTCATGCTCCCCTGGGAGAAGCTGGATTTCCTTCTAACGAAAGTCCCCTCCCTATCTGAAGGCCACACTCTTGAGCAGAGCAGAATAGACAGAGAGAAGAGTGTGACTCATGCTTCAGTTTTCTCGTCTGTAAAACATGAACAGCCCAGGATGCTGCTGGGAAAGTCTCCCAGACCATCCCGAGCTCTCAGCCAGTTGTGGGGCGTTACCCATGGTCAGGGCTCTGGGACTCAGAATGCCCACTGGGTCAGGAAACTTTTCCATTGCTTCTCCTTTTTTTTTTTTCCCCAGAGAAGCTGCGACATGAGGACCTTGATTCAATCCAAGATTCCTATCTCACTGGCATTCAAGCAAGGCCTTTCTTTTGTTCATTACTGTGCTCCTAGTACCTAGAACATCACGTGGCACATAGTAGGACCTCAAGATATACCTGCCGAGTGAATGAATGAAAGGACTCAACTGGAGTGAACAGCAAGTTTGCATGTCACTCTAGATCCATGAAATATTTCCACTAACAAACCTCAGTCTTTTCTTGCTGGTCACCCCAACATCAATGGGCTCCCCACTGGCACCTAGGACGATGTGTGCTCATGATGACACCAACGATGTTTTTCAACTTATCTCATTTGATCCAAGGACTAGTAGTTGTTTGTCCCATTTTAAAGATGGGGAAAATGAAGCTTGAAGGATCAAACTACCCACAGATGCACAGACAGCAGAAGACAGAGCTGCCACTCTACATCCAGGCCCATCTTAGTCCAAAAGCCAGTGCCTTCTGGACTCCACCTAACTGCTTCTCTGATTCACAGAGAAAATACAGACTAAACCTTAAAAAGACTGTCTCCAGTCCCTGCTACGGGCCCAGGCCAGGGTCACCTGGAGCCTTGGGGCAGGGGGACACGGACATCCCCATAAGGCAGGGCTGGCAGCCAACTGCATCCTGGCTGAGGCCCTGCCAAGCATGTGGATCTGGCGGCTGCACCAGCTTTAGAACAAAAAGCCCTTCCCTGTGCAGCTTCTAGAGCTTGGCGCCTTCAGTGACGGACTAGAGCATGCTGGGCAGCGGCCCAAAGCTTCCTTGTGAATGGGCAGTGTCAGGGAGAGCACTTTTCCACCTCCACACCTTTGCACCCTCTCCAATGCCAAGTACACGTCCTTGTGCTTCCAGAGAAGCTTTCCCCGATGCTCCACAGATGACTAACTGTAGAGTCCCTGGCTGTCCTCTCACACCATTGGGTGACACATCTGGCTTGTCTATCAGACTCTAGACATCCCAAGGACAAGAATCTCACAGGCAGGCACACAGTAGGTTCTCAGCTAATGCTGAGGAGATACCCAGTCATAAGACAATCTTTCTTTCCTTCTTAAGGACAAGTTGGCCAAGAAGCTTAAAACCCCGGGGCGGGGATTCTGACAGCACCAAGCCTGCAGTCAGTTCACTGACATTTTTCTGCCTTCTACCACCATCGTGCTGGGCAAACCAGTGGTGCCCACTACAGATGAGAGGCTGTCACATTGGCTTGGCCTGGGCAACTGACCAGTTATGGAGGCCACAACAAGGAAACTGAGTCCTAATTTGCTTCTCTGTTACTGGTGGCCATCTCCTTGCAACATCTCCAGGGACATTTTAAGGCACGTTTTCTTTGACCTAACAATTCCATTCCCAAGATTCTCCCCTACAATTACACTCGCATGCATGGTCAAAGGCAGGGTCTACCCCACAACGCTCTCTGTAGGAGCAAAAGACTGGAAACCACCCAAATGGCCATCGATAGGGGCTAAGTAGGCACGGAGAAGACACAGTGAAATGCGAAGCGGGAAAGCTCCCTGCATACCGATAAAGGAAATCCATCCTGGAGATAAATAAATGAACAAAGCAAGGCAAGGAACAGCGCAAATGGCATGCTCCCTATTGTGTAAAAAGGGATGGATGCACACTGTGCTTGAACATGCACAGACTATTTTTGGCAGGGCATACAAGACGTTGGTTTTGTCGCTGCCGAAGGGGAGGGGGACTCGGTGGTGGGGATGCAGGGGAGGGGGACTCATTTTTTCATTATCAAATGTTTTTAATGTGTACATATCGCCTTTACACACATTATTTTAAATTCTAGAAAATGTTCGTAATGGGCCATGCTGACATTCTAGGAATGGAATGAATATGTCTCATCAATCAGGGTTGTCATAACAAAGCCTGATGTGGGCTTGGGGCCAAAATGACCGACATTCTTTCCAAGGACATCACAAGGGTAGCTGTGGAGGCCAGAGTGTGTGGGTCCATCTGAATCCCTTTTTGAGGGGACCCATTTTGAAGGACCTTCCACAAGTCCCTTGGCCCCCATGGCCTCAGCAGACTAGAATCTACTGGGCTTTCCCCCTGCGCCACATGGGAGTGCTGTGCCCCAAAGACACTGCCACGATGTACTACCACTCATCGGTGCCAGGAAACTGCACAAGTTTCCCCAAATCTGGCCACATCTCCCCAGGACTGCCACCACCACTACCTGGGCCCCCGCTGCTTCCCAGGGTTATTTCAGCAGCCTCCTCACTGGTCTTTCTGTCCCCAGTCTGTTCTCATTAATCTGTGAATACCCATGTCAGATCACCCCCTTCTCTGCTCTACATCCTCCCATGGCTCCCGCATACCTGGCCAACGAGGCCCTTTTGATTGGCCCTACTCCTTTTTGCCTCCCCGAATATGTGACAAAATACTCTATCACTCAGATTCAGAGACCTTAAAGAATGAGGGTGGTGCCTATTAACAATGATGCCAGGACCACAGGTGTAAATAAGATACGTCCAGGACAAGCTGTATGTGCAGTGGGTCGTCCCATCTCGAACCTCATCTCCCATATGGCCCTTTCACTTCCTCCTTTAGCCATGCTGGCTTCTGGAATGTTCCCAGAATAGGCGGAACAGGCTCTTGCTTCAGGATCTTGGAACTGACTGTTCCCTCAGCTACTCATTACATGACATGCCACCTCTCCTTTAGGTCTCTGTTCAAAAGCCACTTCACCAGGGCAGCCTATATAAAAAGCATCCCTGGTCATTCTCCTTCCTCTGCCCTGGCTTTATTTTCCGTCACTTATCATCGTTTTTCTATTATAATTTTATTCGTGTTATCTATTTAAAGTCCATTTGTTCTACTAAAATGACATCTCCAAGGAGGCAAGACCTGTGGCTCTCTTGATCATTGCTGGATCCAGAGCAGTGCCTGGCACATAGTAGGTGCTCAATAGACATTAGTTGAGTAAATCAATTATACCCATTTGGTTGATGGGGAAACTGAGGCTCAGAGAGGTTCGGGAATTCACCTAAAATTACCTAGATAAAAATCAACTCTGGGCCTGGGCCTGGTTCCTTTTTTCCGATACCACCTTGGGGACCAGCCACCCATGTGCCGGGTCCTACACTGCCCTACACTGCCCAAGGGCCTCCAGCATCCCAAACTTCCCTGCATCTCTCTTACAGACAGAGGAGATGCAGAGGTGAGCTGCATTCTTGTCCAAGAACAGTAATGATTCATTCCAGGGTGGGATCCAAAAAAAGAATTGCCTGGACGTCTGTTTTCAGTCGGCCACCCTGCTGCCGTCCAGCCAGCACTCAGAGATGTAAATACGTCCTCCGAGTGGGCCAAATCGTTTCCTT